TTGTGGCTGGCAGTGAGGATGATGCCACCGATGGCTTTGTATTTCCTGATCACACAGGAGATGGCCGGCGTGGACATGATCCCGTGGTGTCCAATGATCATACGACCCACCTGAGGAAATGTCACACAGGTGTGTGAGAGTTGGCTTCGAGGAGTGTGTGTCTTAATTTATCTAAGTGGGGGAGGGAAGGGAATGTCACAGAATATCAGGTTTGGTTCGTCCTGCTTAAAGTAACTGGGACTTCATTTAATGAATGACAGTTATGGCAAGTTTTATTATGTGTGAGTGTAATTTAAATCTCTCTAACGATCCTACTGAGAAAGCATCAGGCGCTTTAAGGTTGTGTAATTTAAACCGTTGGATCACAGAGAGCTCATTACTGGACCTGGCAAGAGAATAGAAAACATGTTTCTTTTCTATGTGAAGGAGCCGTAGTTACGGGAGCAACTGGCTGCTGTTATATTGCATTAAACTGTCTTCTATCACTATCTTGCATTGATTACTCACAGATTCTGATGAGCAACGGCTCCCAATTGCAAATTATAATTGTAATTTCATCAGGCAATTGCACATGCAAGTATTTGGAAAAAGGAATGAATACTGATTTCATTATGCCACCTCCCAGGGCAAGTATAAGGAAATCAAGCAGCTCACATGCCTGATCATTCGGGAAGGAGTAGAACATATTTGAGTTGATGATGGAGTAACTTAACTTGCCTATGGAGTAAACCATCTCTCTTCCTTCTTATCTCGGTTAGGAGTTGCATTTGCCCATAACCGATTGGTCACCAGCGAAAAAATGGCTGCGGGTTAAGACTACGTTTGATCTGAAGTGCAAGCAAGCCATTTATCTTATTCTGGAAACAGGATTTAAATTGGGTGGAGTTTAAGGATGTGGGAAAAAGTCCAAATTGACTTACTAAATTAAGATTATACAAGACAAATAAATTAGTTGTTTTCAGATAGCTGCAAAATAATAAAACAATTTAAATAGGGGAGTCTTTAAATGTACTTTGGCAATATATAGTATACATTACATTTTACATTACATGTCATGGGACTCAAACTTGCTATCCCCTGATTCAAAGTCCAGCACACTACTGAGCCACAGCCTCCCTCATATATACTTAAGAGATATAAGAGATTGGTACAACTTATGGCAACAAAAGGATAAGAACATGGTGACACCCACGTGCTCACATCCGCCCACACATGTACACAAACACCAATTGAACAGCGTGCTCACACAAACACAAACAATCACACATGGGGACACTGACCCCGTTGGCAGCTGCCATCTGCACAATGACCTCAACAGCGGTTCTGTTGAAGAAGCGGCCGTCCCCTCCGACCACCACTGTGGATCCCTGTCGGTCCCGCAGGTCGATGGAGGAGAAGATACTCTGGATGTAGTTGTGGAGGTATTTCTTCCTGGACTGGAAGACATAGACCTTTTTCCTCAGGCCGCTGGTGCCGGGCCTCTGGTCGGGGTAGGGGGCTGTAGGGACCGTTAACACCTGCAGAGGACTGTTGTCCATTGTTTCAAATGTAACTCCAACTTAATGCAAGAGCCTAGAGAAGGAACGTGTTGTTCAGAGGGAAGTCCCCTGTCAGTTGACATGGGGAAGTGTACACAGGAGCAGAGTGGGAGTGTATGATCCTGACTCCTCCTGTTATTTCACTGTGGTACTTCTGAGGCCCAAAATAACCTTCCAAACTAATGTGTGTGCAGAGGCATGGGAGGTAACCGAAGACGCTCCTTCACACATGTGCAGGGAGATCACTGTCAAGGCTGCAGGCCCGGCCACAAAGCAGTGTGTTTGGGTGTGTCAGAGTGGAAGTACTGAGGTGTTATTGGATCTATTTGTCCGTCTGAACGGCTGCAGCTGTGCTCCATGTTCTGATATGCAAACAGAAGGATGGCATCTCTAATCTAGGAGCGCTATTTGAGGAGGGAATATTTCCCCTTTTTTAAAAGCAGACACTAAAGGTGAATATTGGAACATTTCAAACTGATGAAACTTCCAAAGTGTATTTCTCACCTTAACGAGGCCATATTATGCTTTTTGGGTTTTTTCCTTTCCTGTAGTGTTATAGGTTTTTGTCCATGTAAATGGTCTGCAAAGGCTACAATCCCAAAGTGCCCTCCAGAGGGAGATTCTCTCTGACACACTCCCCCCCTGCCTGAAACACCTCCATTGGACTCCTTTGTTTACTTCTGTAACATAGTGACATCACCATGTAACCCTTGTGCTTCTATTGTCTAGCACTCCAACATATTGTATGTGATAAGAGATGTCCCGCCCCTTAGCCTAACAGCTAACCAATCAGAACAGACTGGGCTCTGGTTTCAGACAGAGGGTGAAAACAGGTGCTGCAGCACAGGCAGGATGAGAAAAATAAAGAGCTTTTTCAACATTAAAGCATGGAGACATGTATCAGTAGAGAAACTAAATACAAATATAAACCTGAAAAGTATCATAATATGGCCCCTTTAAGACAATACTTTTCTCTGAGATTTATGTTTAAATTTGCAAAAATAACATTTGGTGAATTTAGGAGAAATCTACAGAAGCAAAAATACTAATATAGTAAAAATCAACACATACATGTTTATCTGGATGATTTTAATGGTCTAAAAGAAAACAAGTCATGGTAGCAAAATAGCAAACAAAACTTAAAATTAACTAGCATATTTATTTACCTTGATTTTCTTAGTGTTAGAAAAAAGAGTGAGTCTTTAGGAGAACAAACTAAATATAGATATGGTTCCCAGCAGTCTGTTTACAAAGCAAAGACAGAACAACACTGCCCTCTAGAGTTTATTATTGGCTGTAACAACCAGCACAAAATAGTTGGACATCACAATGATCCCGGATTTAGAAAGGAGTAATAGTTAACATGCTTTCACATAAAAACAAAGTCAGTGTTTTTAGTCCAACGATCACACTACGCTGTGTCAGATCTCTGTTGACATAGAAAGATCATTCTGTGCCCGAGTCTTGCCACAGCTTGGTTTAAATGGAAGTTTATACGGAAGTTAGCTTGTTGCAGTGACGGCAAAACAGTTAGAATCTAAGGCCCTTTCTCTGATGGGGTAACCCCCAAATTAGTCCATAATACCAAATAGGACGTTTTAGAAGTAAAATCTGGGTTTTCGGTATGTTTTCAGTTACAGATATCCACACCTCAAAGAATCAAAAACAGTCAAGATGAGAAATGGAAATGAAAATGGTTCCCAACCTTTTTTGCCTAATGACCTGTGAAAATATAACAATATCTGTTCGGGATGTCACGTCAGCAAATATCCTGACGATTGATTAGGTACTTAGGTAATTTCTTATCATAAATGGCCTAATCTTTTGATGTTTTGGACTCTGGACCTGACGTTGTCACATTAGTTATTATAGTCTTTTTTTAAACAATTCATCGAAGAAATAATCATTAAATTCAGCCCTTGTAACTATTAAATAATGTTTAAGATTCCAGAGGAGTTGACTCTGTACCATAACAATAGAATAGGACTAGAATGGTCATGTCAAGTCCACTGGTAGGATGGTCAGTAGAGATGGCAAATCCGGATCATTTTATGGACTCGGAGTCTTCTGAGTCAATCATTGAAGAGATCCGGATCATACGAGTCATTTGAGTCATTTGAGTCATATGAGTCAGCATGACCAAGACCGTAGAAATCCTACCGGTGAAACCGAAAAGTTGTTGCATTTAACCAGCATATTAAACTAACGTTACATTAACCTCCGCTACACAGTGTCTTTTGCTTTAATAAAACATGTGTGTGTGTGTGCATTTTAAAAAATAAGTGTTTTGCATTATATGTATATAGTTATTTTAATGTTCCTGTACTTAAGCTAATTTTGCACAATTGTGTTTTCATTTAATAATAATAATAATAATAATAATAATAATTGTATAATTACATTTTATATATTCTAACTGTTTTGCAATTTTCTATCATTTGTTTCTTTTTGTGTGCCATGTTCAAAATAAACGAGTTTCCAAGTAAGATCCTTATTGGAAATGCAGATAGTATTACAGGAGACTGTTGCACAACATGACCATTTTGTTAGAAGTCTACACTGAAACTTAATTTAGAGCCGGAAAAATCGCGGGATCCGTGAATCCAGGTCAATGATCGAGAGAGACCAGTAGCCTACGAGGACTCAGAGCCGTAACTTATAGCAGGCAGCAGATCCAGAGATCCAGCAGACTCGTCCCCATGCACGAATCTACAGCAGACTCGTCCCCATGCACGAATCTACAGCAGACTCAGCCCCTCCTCCGGCTCGCACGGCTCCCGCGAGTCCCACGGCTCCCGCGAGTCCCACGGCTCCCTCGACGAGTCGCAGCAGACTCAGAGATTTGCGGACTCACGGCTCACTCACGGCTCACGGCTCACTCACGGCTCACGGCTCACTCACGGCTCCCGCGAGTCCATCGACTCACGGCTCACTCACGGCTCACGGGACTCTCGCGGGAGCCGGAGGAGGGGCTGAATTTGCTGTTGATTCGTGCATGGCGACGAGTCTGCTGGATCTCTGGATACAACAACGTTGTAATGTGATTGTACACGTTATAAAGAGAGTAAAGAGTGACGCAATTTATAGTTTTAATTGTTACGTCACATCAGGTGTAGGACTCAAAGGACTCGGGTTAATCGAGAGGGAGACTCGTCACGACCGGCTCATTACTAGGATCCGGGTTAATGATCCGGATGAATCATGACTCGCCCATCTCTAATGGTCAGTGCGAGGGCCTGTTTTTGCAACAAACTAACTTCCGTATAAACTTCCATATAAACAAAAGTGTGGCAAGGTGCAGACTCACTGAACTGAGGTTGTGCAGTAATGATGACTACACAACTAGAGCTTGGAATAGTACAATATAAAGTATAGAGAGTTAAAGTAAATGAGTCCAATACAACAACAAATGTATCATTGACACACCCTTATCACAGGAAGGCACATTGATATCCCCAGATGTGTGATAACTTTGTTCTTTTAATTGATTAGCTAGCTAGTAATTTAACAATGCTTTAATGTTATGTTTGTTACAGAAGAAGAGCTGAACAGAACAGCAGGCCTGTGTCCATCAGGTTTAACATTCCTTCCACCTCAATACCTTTCCCTCCAGAGAAGGCAAAGCTAACTAGCCAGTCTTCCTAACAATCGCCATCATTTGTTCTACTCAAATGAACTGGGAAAACAGTTACATGTGCGTTTCCTCATATTTCTATGATCTGTACAGTATTTCACAAGACAAAAAAACCCTTAAAGAAGTTTTAGTAAGATCAATTCTGTAGCAGTCTTTCTCACCCTGCTAATTCTCTCCTTAGATTGTATCTTGTGATCCATTTAAGGGGTCCGTCTCCCTACTACTGTATGTTAGGAACCTGTATACTGAGAGTCAATGTGACCCAATATAAAAACTGCTTAAATATGGCTGTATGTTTTAACTTCTTCTCAATAACCTTTGTCCTCTGAGATACATTGAGTGAAGATAAATTGTCACTGCTAACTTTGAGGTTTCACAATGCAAGAGTATTATAAAGATGATCCTAGCAGGCAGTTATACATTTGTTCAGCTTCCTCAGTTAAGCATGCTTGTCACTTGGAGAAAAACATCTTCCTCTCTGCACAAGCCTTCTTAAACCATGGCTGCCACATGAAGCATTGCCAAAGCTCATGGAGATGTCACTGTTAATGTTTATTTACTGAATGATGGAGGTGGTGGATCACTGAAAGACCCCTGCTTCAGAGGAGGCCAAAGTGGTGTAGATGGTGCTAGGAGGAGACACAGGATGTACAGAGATCTGGGTGAACTTGAGGGAGTAAGACGCCTTTCGGCCCAGCCTCCATTGAATCCCTCTCTTACGATCCGAGCGCCCCTTGGGTCTCATGTGGAAATATCTCCCATTTAGGTTGGTATCTCCGCAAGCGTTGTACCACCATCCACCTGGAAGAAGACAGAAATGACTTGTTGTTCAGCTAAAAGGTATTCATTACTGTGTACATATGCACCTGTGAGAGATGTACAGAGCCGTCAGATATTTTGTATCCTATATCTGTAATAGAGTGGTGCAGGGATGAGTCCTCAAACCCAGAAATGACTAAGCACTTTTCCCTCATCTTGAAGTAATGGTTTTTTGAACATGTTTGTGGTTAACAGCCAGAAATAAGGTCTATGGTTAGCATAAGCTTAACAAATGTTACCCCACACCACACGTGAATGGACAAAGCTTCTATGTGTCACCAAAATGGCAGATGTTAACAAGTGACAAAATAAACTTTCAAACGACACCACACCAAACACTAGCCGCCTTAAGCTTAGCGGTGGTGATGCGCAGCCATGCCACGTGATGTGTTTCGCTAATAGCCTAACGTTAGCTGTTTACTTCTGATTGCATTAAGCTTTAAAAAAGTGGTATAATTATGTGAAGATTATCACGCTGAACAAAATGTGGGTTTGCCACAGAACGTATTTTTCTGCAATATACCGAAATCCAATTGAAAAATCCAATTGCTTTCTGTCGAGTGAGCCCTTGCGATGCTAACTTCCAGGTCGGCCAAACTATGTCATTGCTGCACTACTATGTGTTACAGATTAGATAATATTAGATAGATTCTTTAGCTGTTTCTGTTAAAAAAATGTATTTGTATTCGGAGAGAACAACGCAAGTGGTCGTGGCTTATACAGGAAACTTAAATACACGTTAAACTGGGCAAATATTGTATTTCCAATCCTAATATTCATTGACAATGCAATCGTTCAAGCTTCAAATTGATTGATTGATTATAAAATGTAAACACATTCTTACTCTACTTTTTTATCTTGTCAAAAGTAAAAACATTTTATTTATTCAACACATATTTCCCCCCCATTCTAGATAGAAAGAAAAACAATTTTTACTGCATTATTTGTGCTTTTCAAATAACATATCCAGTTACATCCCTAGTACCTGTGTAGTCTTGGGCACAGTTGAAGCCCTGGAGGTTGTCATTGTCCCTGTCCTTGGTGGAGAACATCATGCCAGAGTGGTTGCTCATGGGGTCCGGCACCTCTCCAGACAGATGCGTGAGGTGAATGGTGTAGTTGCTCTCAGGACCATTAAGATTAAATCTGTATTCTATGAAGCGCCTGTCCTGTTTCCAGTCTTCCAGCTCGATGTGAAGGACGGAGTTTCCCTGAGCGGCCAGAGAGTGGATCTTTCTGAGACCGAGCCAAAACTCCCCTGTTAGAGAAACATCATTTAGCGGTCACAGCTGACATGATTTAACAAGCACCTTTGAGAAGTGATGCACACAAACGTGCAGAATATTTTCACTTATAGAGGTTGTAATGTTATAACCATGATATACGTCAAGTCATTTAAAATTTGGCAGATGAGAATGCATTTTCTAACTATAACATGGGTAATTAAAGTCTGGAGAACAGAGCTGTGTCTCTCACCTTGAAAATCTCCAAACCCATTTTCATACTTCTCCCAGATTTGATCGAAATTTACTGAGCCGTCGTTTCTTCGCTGGATGACTGTGGCTCCGTGATCTAAAATGGAAAAAAAGGGAAAAAACAATCACTACTATTAAAGTTCTATCTGTATTTGTTTTGTTAGTGGCTGAGTCTGCCTTTCAAGAACTGGATTTTTAATAATCTTTAAACATATTAGAACATTCACTTGACACAGTCCATGCATGGAACCCACTCTCTACACAGGTGCATTATACTGCTAATGAAAATCAAAATGTTCTACTGTTGCTTTAAATTAGGTTTACAACTTTAAGTAAAATATAAAATATAGATTGGTTGACTTAATAAAGACTAAACAAGGTATACAATATGAAAAAACTAGTCCTGTGCTCTGTTAAAGTTTAATATTTGTGTGTTGGTACAGTACCTTTGCTCATGTCACAAAAAGCCATAAAGGGCTCTGCTCCGGTGGGTCTGATGACATAGAGGCCACTGACTCGTTCCCCTCCGTTGAACAGGTCACTGCAGTCCAATGGAAGGTCTATTTTAATAAGGCCCACAAGTATAATGTTATAGTTAAAACTGCCCTGAATAAAGATTCGCTTTAAATCTGGAGCAGTGCACTTGTGACCAGACAGTCAGCAGTTCATATCAGCAATAAAACATGTGCAGGATAATTGATTGCTCAGTAAAAGCTGAAAATGTGTATCAGGCAGGCAGGTAGGTATGAAATCGGAAGCGAAAAACTTATGGTAATTGTCACATTACAATTCCAGAAATCGATGGAAAATGGCAAAAGTTTTGGGCCTGCAAAAAATAAAAGATGCCAGATCCTAATATCACTCGACAAATGTTTTATTTTCCTTACTCGTCATGCCGTTGTTAAAGTTTGAGGTCAAATAAGGGGTGAGTGTTGGTGCTTCATTGTTGTAGGTTTCAGGCATCCTCTCAATGGTCTCTTGGGCCAATGTGTTGACTGTAAACTGTGGAGAAATAATAAGCAAAAACATTAGCATCCTAATGCTGATCATGGTGAAATAATGTGGGTTCCATGTAAAGACTTTGGGTTGTTATTCTGCAAAATACGTTTTCTTTAGTGTTTAAGGTTAAAGAGTAACAACATCAATTTTGAGCTGTCAAGACGAAGGAAAGTGCAAATGAGTTATAACACTGAGGCATTGCCTCGGTTGTTAAAAATATGGACAGCTCCTTTATTATATCAGCTCCAAATTATATAGTACAGTACCAGGAAAAAGTCTTTCTACAAGCACATTAAATGCAATGCAATGAGGGTGACAGCTCATGTATCAAAAAGCTGGCAAAAAATGATCTTGTGTAGTTCACACAGCAACTAGCTGAAAGGCCATGAGATTAGAAATGCCTTTCCAATACTAATTAAGGGATTGTATGAAAATGATGGGGCTGGAGGAGGGGCGTATTTAATAATACAAAAATAAAAAGCTACCTTTCAAGCTACCGTTCCTTGAATGCAACACCCTCCAACAAAATATCTCAAAATAATATATTTAATATCCTAACAAAATGGCAAATATTGACCCACTCTAACATGTGCTAACGTACTAACCTTATATTCCATCTAATGAAAATATCCGATTACTCTATAGCCAGATATGTATGACATCCTAAATTACACATTGGAAACGTTTATCCCCGACAACTTTAAATATGAATGTGATAACTATAAAAAAAAATCTCTTACAATAAATCTCACAACGAAAGAAGGAAAGTGTGAGAAATGTTGAAAAGGCCACCCCAAAAGATATCACCCTAAGCAAAAAGGGGAACTAGACTCTCACCCACTTTAAATATAATCAATCCATTAAAAAACTGTTATCAGTTGTTATCACTTTTATTTTGAAGCTTCTAATATGACTAACAGGATGTAGGTATGAGCCATTGATTCCTCACTTACGCTATCTCCGCTATTTATTCAGCAAGGACAATGTTGGGACATTCTGGGATTTGAAAAGCTGCCAATTGGGATTTGCTGAATAAACACAAACAACCAAGAACATTTCTTTCACAATAGTAGTAGTAGTAGTAGTAGTAGTAGTAGTAGTAGTAGTAGTAGTAGTAGAAGTAGTAGTAGTAGTAGTAGTAGTAGTAGTAGTAGTAGTAGTAGTAGTAGTAGTAGTAGTAGTAGTAGTAGTAGTAGTAGTAGTAGTAGTAGTAGTAGTAGTAGTAGTAGTAATAGTAGTAGTAATAGTAGTAGTAGTAGTAGTAGTAGTAGTAGTAGTAGTAGTAGGCTAGTAGTAGTATTTCAATGATGACCTGACAGGAGGCAAAAGGCTTCCTGAGGGGATGGGGGTTGGGAGGAAGACAATAAAAAGACAGACTCCGGGCACTACAGAACCCAGGAGCCAACACAATGACACAGAGCAGAGATGAGCATAGCAGTTAAACATAACATCTCTAAAACAATACTGCTGTGGTTCAATCAGTCATTAAAATAATATAGAATATTCATCCATTCAATCATTCATTCATGCAGGAAGTATGATGGCAGTGTAGACAGGGGTCAGGCCGGGCTAGCCTGGTAGTGGCAGTTTTACCTAAATTAGCATTAGCATATGTATTTAGCGTACAAACTCCAGGATAAAATCCCTGGATTTTTTTCTCACATGGCTTACTTTTTCTACCCTTGTTATGATTTTCCCATTGTGTTGAATTATGATGGGTTTAGCACTTTTGCTAGATCATTCTCCAGCGTAGGCAGTGTAGAGCTGGGTCTGGCCGTGTTAGCCTGCAGTTTTTAACATGCGGTTCACATTGTGAATTGAAACAAAACTACTTAAGGTTTAAACGTTGCTTAAGCTAAAACTTTGTTACTTTTCCTAAAATGTGTATATTTATTTATTTTGGGGCATGGGGAATGAAGAGAAAAAAATATGAGCATTTTATGAGCATGGGATTTTGACCCCTCATATAAACATATGCATAATGCTGGGCTATACTTTGCGGCCACACGCCGTTGCAAAGCAACGCTTATTGATTAGGTCCTTTGATAAGCAGGCAGTGAAATAATTAACTAGAACTAGCTAGATCTGATAGATTTGGACATAAACGCGAGTGAAGTATAACCGGACGCGAGAGAGAGATCAGAGAGCAGATCAGCTGCTGCTGACGGAGAACACGCAGCTCTGCATTATCACAGCTCCGCCGCTGTGACGGACCGTTGAGTGGAGCAAAAATACAGTTAGACCTAACACACTTAGCTAGTTTATCTACTCTGGAACAAGCTAAACTAGTTATAAATATATTTATTCTTTACTGTCGGGTCACTTGTTACAGGTTCAGCGAGCTGCACGAGACTGACGGGCTGTCAGGAGAGGGAGACTGGGAGAGGAAAAGAGAGCACCCCGTTTATTTTCCCCATTTTATTATCCAGAATTACTGTAAACCTTTGAATAAAGTAGTTAATCTACTATTAGCAGTTTGTTTAAATGCATTACTTATGTTTTTTTTTTTCATTAACATAAAATAAATCTCACGTACCCCCTGCAGTACTCCAACGTACCCCTAGGGGTCCGCGTACCCCATGCATTTGAGAACCACTGCTTTAGATGACAACTGATAATAGCCATTTAATAGGCTGATAACAATTAAAAAAGGGTGTCCCTTTAACACCCTCTTCGCCAATAAAACATTTCCAACGGTCCCAAGCAGTTACCTTTTCCTCCAGAGTCTTGAGCTGAACCCTCTGGTGGTTGAGCTGATGGCTCTGCTCCCTCACAGCCTTCAGCAGCTCTGTGATGCTCCGCTCCTGGCTGTGGATCACCTCCTGAGCCCGGAAGAAAGGTGGAATCATGGGAGCCGTTATAGAATGGTGCTATTTATTGTTAATATCACATAAAATACTCCCTTCATACATTTGGAGAACAAATGCAAAAAAAAGCATGGGTAAGCAAAAAAACATGCTACTTAGAAGTGTTGTATCTTAACCCTTGTGTTGTCTTCTGATCACCTTTTGTCATTATGTGACTGTTTATAAAGCTTTTAGCATGAAACCATCATAAAAACTTGCTTATACCTTTTCAATCCAACTCATGGAATGTATGGTCAATAGACCTCATTTACACCTCATTTACACATACATAAAGTTTTGAGGTAAAAAATTGCAAATTTTTTGAATTATTCTGACAATAGTTTGGATAAAAGGGGCTTATCTTGATGGATTATAAGAGACTTATATGTCCAAGTTTATTTAGGAATCTGTTTGGAAGCTATTTCAGGTGCTTTAATGAAAGTAGGCTACATAATAACCAGATTGTATAAAGTTAGATTTAGAATTAGAAAAACCTTTAACCATGTCAAATGTGACCCGAGGACAGCAGGAAGATCTTACAGAAATATTTCCACTGCACCAGAAAGAAAAAGCCTTTCCAGCAGCGGTGGCTCACCCTGAGGCCGTTGATCTCTGCCACTTGTTCTCCTGTCAGCAGGCCGTGCGACAGGCTGCTCAGCCTCTCTTCCAGTCCCTCCACCTTGTCCTGCAGCCGGCTCTTCTCCTGCAGGATGTTGTCCACTTTGGAGTTGATCTCAACAGACAGGCCCTTGATCTCATCGTTGTTGGCTTTCAGCACCACCGTAGTTTTCTTCAGTTCCTCTTCTTCCTCTTTAATTTCATTGGCAAGCACTGAGAGCTGGTAAAACGAGCGGTCAAAGATGTTGATCTTCTGGAGGATGTCGTTTATCTGTCCTTTTGTCTTCTGAACAAACTCCCGCAGGCTCTGACCCAGCTGGAGGAGGCCGTTTGCCAGGAGACGCACATCGTCCAGAGCGGCAAAGCGGGAGCGGGTCTCCACCGGGGCCTCGGGTTCATCTGAGCCACAGAGGGCTGGGACAGAGGCAGCCGCCAGGACCAACAATACGTGAATAGGTGTAATTCTCATGTTGTGTGTCGTCGTGGTGGCGACATGTGTGTCGTGATGTTAGGCGGACAAATGGCAGCCCTCTCTCTCTGCTTTGACCGAACGAACAGTGAGGATACTGGGCTTTATACACTGTCTGGAATGTGGTCAATGATTAACTCTGATCAATATCTGCATGGATGATTCAGTTTCCTCCGGATATCAAAAGTTCAGCTCAAGCCAAATGTCAATAATTGGATTTAAAATGGTCATCAGTTTGATTAACCATGCAAATTTCATCAACGGAACATTGAACTTAAATTATTTGACAACTTTGAATGTTGTCAAATGTATCAAGCAGTACTGTAGTTTTCCTGCAATGTTCAACCTAGCTCTCATTTATTTTCTTAAAAGGGACTGTTTAGATGTTTTAAAGAGGAATTGTAATGGGTACTTATTTATAGTTGGTGTATTTGCTACAGTAGATGGCAGACTTTACAAAGTTTGATAGTAAATAGTACTGCTGTCGACCGAGGCAGATATTCAAGCAAGCACAAATCTATTTCAGTGACGCGTAAGGAACATCTTCAAAGCTTTAATTCGCTGTGAGACATCTTTTTGTGACAGAAAACTGAGAACAGTGAGTGCGCTCTTGAAAGCCGCCAGACTACATTGAAGAAAACTATAATTTGAACTCACAGAACACGGGGGTCTTTGTGTAACTTTGGGTGTTTCTGATTCACCAAAGACAATAACCAATGTTTGCTTCTCCAAACTGAGAACATGCCTCTCACATCTACTGAAGGTTATACAGTTATTAATGTTATACACATAAATATAGTACCTCATACATGTGTCAGTGTTTTCAACTGACCTGTAGTGACTTTTCCTGAGGTCACAGCTGTTCTCTGTTATTGTTGCATGGCTAGTTCATCATTCAAAGGAATCTGACAAAATGTAGGCTACATAAAGAAATTATTTACGAACATGACTTACAAGCTCATGGTTTTGCAATGTTGAAAGTTATTTTGTACACTGTAGGTGCTGTGCAAATATGGATTGTTTGCATAGACTGTATAGGAGAAGTGTACAGTCACCTTGACCTACCTTGTTAGTTTGGGACTAGTATTTTGGAAAAACTGAGGGCACTCAAACCGTTACACAGTGTTAGTGACGTTAGTATGAGGTATAATTAATATAATCAATAATAAGTGAATATTTAAGGTAGAGAACAAACTCATAAGGAAAATGTCTACAGAGGTAACAAATGAAGTGAGTTGAGGGGTCATTCTATACAATCTTGTTGTATTGGCAACCGGAGGAGCTGCACCCTGCTTGCCATTAGAAAGAATGCAGCTTGAAGCCACGTTGACAGTTGCTTTACTTTTGAGACTTGGAAGTTGTATTGTAAACACAAAGACAAAACTGCAACCTGATTCAACATGTAATTATTGCTTTACCTCTCTGCAGTTAAAACACCATCACCTGCATAAAGGTTGCAACTTTCATCATGACTCACAAGCAGTGGGAGTGTGAGGAGATATATTACTGCCAATCCTCACAGGGTGATGACCCATGTCCTACTCTGTTAAATGTTAACTACCCATATTAGGGTTTGGGTCGCATGAGCCCCGACAGTGTGTACACAGTAAACACAGCCCGCAACCCTGACTTCAGCACGGGGCCCTGTTCTCTGCAAGGGATATTTGTTGTGGCCAACATTCATGAATCATTTGACAGAGCAGCCCCAGCGGAGCTTCTAAGAGTAAGGGACGTACAGTGGAGGGGCCATGGGGGCGCAAGGGGAAGTGTGTGATGAACAGGAGAGGCCAGGAATAAAAAATGTACAGGGGTTGAAGCAGTGGTGTAGCCAGGAATTATTGTGTGGGTGGGCCTGGAGAAATGTAGGTGGGCCAGGGGGAGACTTATTAAGCGTGGGGTCTGAGCTGAAACTTCATTAATAATTTTTTTAATGCACTAATTGAACATAAGCATAAACTAGCAGTGCAAACGAAAACATAGGCACGGCAGCCTCAGAATGTGTGTAAAACTGACATCCACATGGATGGGTATCGTTAAGGTTTTAACGGTATGGCTACTACTTTTATCGATACCGCTTATCGATCCGGTGCTTTAACAGTAGCTACTTTTATCGTTTTTTTTGGAGAAAAAAATAAGGTAAACTAACTAAACAAATTGTGAACAAAACTAACATTGCTTTTTATTTTAATTAAATACATAATATTTCACATCAAAAGAAACAAGTGTTTTAACAAATCGTATTAAATAATCTGATGACAGAATTGTAAACAGAATAGCTGAAACTTTAACAAAATAAATAACTCTGTTTCCTCTAATCATTAACTCATGTTTGTATCATTGAGTTAACTCCGTGTGTTGCTGCTAGCATAACACCTGACGTGGAAACGTTACTCATGGATACAGAGCTACTAGAAAGACAGTCGAACCCGGTGCATTCCTCCGTCTGAATGTGGTGCACTTTTGCTAAATGTTTAGACAAATTGCTCGTGTTACCGCCCTTATATGCTAAACTCTTATTGCACTTTTGGTAACGAGCATTGTCCACCTCAAGACGGGTAACATTTAACCACACCTTGGAGCGCGTTCTCTCCGCCATCTCCTCCGTGTGTGTGTGTTGCTGCATGTAGCAGCTGCGTGTGTGTAAACTGCCCCGCCCCCTCAGGCAAGGGAGAGAGATTGGAATGGGAAAGATCGAAAATACTAAAAATAATCATAGACGCATTTTGCTGTCTATTGCATATTAGAAACGGAGTTGGCGACACTAAAACTGCAATATAATGTTTGTGTAGCAATAATATATGAGATATATTTTGTACATGTCTCCTCCAGTAGGCTACCGACCGATAACGTCGGAGCTTAATACCACGGTCTTTAATAATTCAGTCCCGTTTAATACCGGGGCTCGGTACCCATCCCTACACATGACTGGCTCGGCGGCCACAGGTTGTTTATCCTTGACAGTCACACTGTTTATCCTGCAGCTTCACTGAAAACAACATCCGGTTTCACTATGAGTGGTCGCATTTTCGAGAGCTCCCGCTTTGGCGGTTATTCCTCACGATTTTTTACATATTTCATCCTCCTGACAATATGGATTATGGACTCCTACCTCAACTCATCAATGAGGCAACATCACTTAGAGAAGGAGAGTAATGAAAGCGGGGATAAAATGAACCACAATGACTTTTACCTTCTCAACGGCTGGGAAAGGAAACACCTCGCTTTTGGAAGTGCAAGCATTCATGCATTATTAACTGCAAACCCGACGCGAAAGTACTTACCCCCGTCAGGCAAACTAGACCGAAGAAGTATGATCGTCTTGGTCTTATTGTTAGCGGGAGACATCCATCTGAATCCGGGCCCGGTGCAGACAAGAAGCCAGTCCTGCAGGCTCGAGGAGCTAGCATCTCAATTAGCATCAGAACTAGCATCTCTTCCGCTGCAACAAAAACTACGCGACGACAACAGAGACCGTGGAGACAGCGGAGACCAAGGAATAAACGGAGACTTCGAGATTTCCCCGGGGACGCCTTGGCAGATATACACGCATGAGGCAGTGACGAGAGGAAGAGAACCGAGATCCGAGGGAACAAATATCCGCCATGTTGTTAGCCACCCTGCTAGCATATCAACGGCTAAAGCTACAACGGAGCCTCCCTCCCCCCACCACCACCACACCCCCCCCCCCCCCCCCCACTCAAAATTGAAAGAAACAGACTAAGAAATGACGTAAGCTCAATGATCAAAACTGCCAAAAAGAATTTCATCAATGTCAAAACTGAGGAAAACAAAAATAAACCCTGTGAACTTTGTAAATTACTCAATAACCAGCTTGGCTGCAGTAAAAAACTCAAAACGAGATTTTAAATCGAAAAGTACCTCGCGGAAAATAAACTAATCTATGAATTTCAATCTGGCTTTAGAACATCCCACTCCACTGACACATGCCTTCTTTATTTGAGCGACCACATCAAACAAGAGGTGGACGAGGGCAAGTACTGCGGCATGGTGATGCGGCATGGTGATGCTGGACCTACAAAAGGCTTTCGACACTGTCAATCACCCCATTCTGATTGACAAGCTAAAAGCAATTGGTTTTGATAAACTATCGGTGAGCTGGATGCAATCCTACCTGGAGGGGAGAGAACAGATGGTGGAGGTAAACGGTACTCTGTCCCCCCCCCCTCCCAGTGAGCTGTGGTGTTCCACAAGGAAGCATATTAGGTCCGTTACTGTTCCTAATTTATGTAAATTACATGTCATCAGCATGTGACTGCAACTTGTTCCTGTTCGCGGACGACTCAGCCCTGCTGGTCTCTGACAGGAACAGGTTGCAGGTTGAAAAAACCCTCAGCTCCGAGCTCGGCAGAATCTGCACCTGGCTCGCCGATAATAAATTATCATTACACCTGGGTAAAACAGAGTCCATTCTCTTCGGTTCGAAACATAATCTCAGCAAATCCGACGACTAAGAAGGAAATTACATACCTAGGATCTATTCTTGAGGCAAACCTCTCCTGTGACAAAATGGCATCCAATGTAATAAAAAAAGTCAATCAAAGAACTAGATTCCTATACCGGATCTCCTCTCTGGTAAACAAAAACACCCTGAAAACTCTGGCAGGAGCACTCATTCAAGGGTACTATGACTATGCTTGCACGTCATGGTACCATAGCACCTCCAAGGCGCTAAAAATAAAACTTCAAACATCGCAAAATAAACTGGTCAGACTACTGCTTGACCTTTCATCTAGAACTCACCTCTGCCCACTTTGACAACCTAGGATGGCTTAGAGTAGACGACAGAGTACAGCTACTTGCAATGGGCCTGGTCTACAAGATCCACTACACCTCTATGGTACCCATGTACATGTCAAAATTCTTCCCAAAGGTCAAGGAATACCATGATCATAACACCAGAGGGAGCTCCACAAATCATGTGAAACCCAGATTTGGAACAAAAAAGGGGGAATACACGTTTCGCAATTATGCCACATCAAGGTGGAACGCTCTTCCCACAACTGTAAAGGAAAGTAAAACTATACTTACCTTCAAAACCTCTCTTAAAGAGCAGTTTTGAGCTGTACT